TCTGACACAGCTTCAGACTTGGATAAAAAAGGTGTAGAAGTTAATGAGGATCAATCAGCTAATTCAGAGCCTGTGCAGGAAGGTGACAAACCCCTTGTTCCAAACCCTGCATGTGATCCTCCCGATGTGAGTAATGATGACCAAAAACAATGTTCACCGAGTAGTGTGAATTGTGATGCCAGTGCCTTTGTGTATTCAGGCACTTTAAAATATAACCACAGTTCAAAGAGCACCTGTTTTGAAGAGCCTAACACCAGGGAGACAACTGTGTGTAAAACTGAAGATCTTTCTGAAAGCAGTGAAAGAGAGAATAGCTCTTCTTTGTCCAGTTTACAATTAGAGTTGCCAAGAGAGAAAGACCCAGAAGGATGTCAACATAGTGCAGTTAATCAGAATGCAAAAAGAAATGTACTTTGTGCTACAAAAGACAAATTTCAAAAGCCTCCTGTGTCCAAACCATTTGATTTAAAGACATATAAACCAATGGGATTTGAGTCTTCATTTTTAAAATTTATTCAGGAAAGTGAGGGAAAAGATGATGATGATGATGATGATTGTGATGAGGTCGTAGAATGGGAGTCTCCTGAGCAGTTGCCAGTAGATGAAACTTTGCAAAAAGAGGGAGGCAGTCAAGGAAATACACCAGTAAACAACTTTGTAAGTGATGAAAATGTAATCATAAGCCCAAATAATCCTGGGCAGCTAACAGAGATCCAGCCCTTGCTGTCGGAGTCCTCATCTGCCCCTTCTTTAGAAAATCTGAGGGCAATCTTGGACAAGGCCCTAACGGACTGTGGAGACCTTGCCTTAAAACAGCTGCATTACTTACGACCAGTCGTAGTTCTTGAAAGATCTAAGTTTTCCACACCTCTCATAGATTTATTTCCAACAAAAAAGGCAGATGAGCTGTGTGTAGGAAGTACATAAGTAGCTTTGCTTAGAGCAGATAGCCTCCACTACTGCTGTACGGGGAGAACTTCAAATTAGAACAGTAATTGTTACAGTACACACTTTTTAGGTTAGTTTTGACTGTTTAATTCCATGAATGTATAATATCTGTCAAAAGTAATGGCCAAGTTAATTTAGCTCCCCATTTTTTTCAATGAACAATGCTGATTTTGGTGCTATTTAACACATCAGAATACTGGGGGCTTCCTCTTGAGTAAATGTGCATGATTGTATATGGAACAAGTACTGGGGTACCAGGGTTTGGGGGGCGATGGAGTTATTACTTGACTTGAATGTGCACCCTAGGGTGCTTTGTGTAACATATTGTACACTACAGCATCTTATATTTTTTGAGTTATGAGTTTCAATAAATTACAGTTTTTCACCCATTTGTTTACTGTACAGTAAATCTTTAATGTGCTTTACTTGTAACTGAGTTTGGGACCATTCTGAGTGCATTGGACAGTGTTGCTTAAGTTTTATGCATTTGTAGATAATTTATCAGACTGATAAAATAGATACAGAAAAGTAAAGTATTACATTTTATTTTACAACATTCTCTGTGATTTTTTCAGACTTGAAAGAACTATAATTAGTACAGGCTTACTAATTACACTTATGCATGAGAAGGTGTTTGTTCCTTTAAAGGCAGAGGGTGTTTCCTGAGACTGTCTGGCACCACCTGAGTGTGTGATGAGTGTTGCCAGACTTCCAAGCAGGTTGTGTCACATGAAAGTACCAGTATACATCCAGAGTTCCCTGCTTAGCTTTTTGGACAATGAATGAAACCTAGCTGGAAGATTCAGCAGAAGAGTCAGCTAATATTTTAAACTCTGTTTCTTGTTCTGTATTGCATTTCTTACCACACATGGCTACATCACAAGGCCCAGAATCCCTGTCCCCTATAGGGAGTATTTCCCCATCTCCATGGGGATTCTAATGAGCAAGCAGCAATCACAGCTTCTGACTGTCTGAGGGCTTGGGTGTTGTTGGGACTTCTAAAATCACAGTTTTATACTGTGATCTGAAAAGCAGCAGTGGAAAGGAAATGGAAAAAACTTTGGGAAATGTTTAAAACAGAGCATGAGTATTGGCTGGGTGCAGAAATGATGGCAGCTGTCAAACTGTCTAGTGAACTGTGGTATGACCAAAATGAGGTAGAAATGGCATCTTCGTACTACAGTTAGGAAAATAAAGTTATTTGGGCATCCTTAAAAGTTAGGTTAAAATCATACACTAAGCAAGAGAAGTGTAGCTTACTGCCTAGCCTTTAATGTAATTTCCTCTCTAAACTATAAGCTTCTTTTAATAAAAGAAATATGGTGCATCAATCTTCTCACAAAGTTCTAAAAATGGAAGTAAGATGTGTCAAAAGGTTAAATACTGCAACATCATCAAACAGCCTTCAATGTGTTCCAAAGTAATTAATATAATGAAGTATCTTTTAATTTCAAGTTTGAGATATGTTTTAACATACTTGAATCTTCAAGATCTCAAGTGTGTTCCAAAGTAATTTCTCTCTCTAATACAATGAAGTACCTTTTAATTTCAAGTTTGAGATATGTTTTAACATACTTGAATCTTCAAGATCTCAAAACAGGAGAAGAGTTGAACAGCAAACTCAACAGACTTGTGGCTGCTTCAGGTATTGGGCCAGAGAGACCAGAGAGACCCACCGTTACCCTCTCAGGGTCTGAGTATCCCAGAGCAGAACCTGTCCCTTTGTGGTCAGCATGAATAGTAAATTCCTTGAGGCTTGCAGACTTCAGTTTCAAGTCAAGCACCTGTATTTCCCACAAAACAAGTTGCGTGTGAAACTCATTTCCTCAGATGCAATTCTGCTTTTGCCAGATGAGTTCCTGTGTGCCTGCAAACCACACACTGGCAGACTGGCACTGCACCTCTGGTGTTACAGAGCCTGTTGGGTCCTTCAGTTACTGCTCTTTCCATAGGCTGGGCTGTACCACAGGACAAGACAGGGACAGACATCATTTCTGTCTGCCAGGTATGGAGACAAGTCCTGCTTCATTCCTCAGTCCCAGAGCTGCATTCAGAAAATGGTTGAGTTGCTTTGGGCTGTATAAAAGCAGCTTGGAGGCATTTTCCTGTGGCGATGTGACTCTCCATGCACTGCCAGGACTTTTAGTAATGTGAGCTCACGGAGTGTTCATATTTCAGCTCAAAGATACCAGTACAGCACTGGTCAGCTTCTTCCTCATTACAAAAATTGTATCTTTGCCATTTCAGAGACTGTCAGTGTGTTTCAATCTTTGAACTCCATCACCTACAAAATGCTCTAATATCTCCATGAGGTAATAGGTGTCACAGCATCAAAAATGTACAGCTTGAATCTACATCTTTATCCCAATTTCTTATTGGGCTTTTTTATCTAATCTAATTGCCTGGCACAGATGGGTGTTGGAGAAGGAGGCCACAAAACGGTAAAGGTTTGAAGAGTTTTTACTGTCTATTTCTGTTTTCATACCATGAGGTAGGCCATCATTTTCCCTCCCAAGTGCTACCAGAATTTGCCTTACAAATGATGTAACATTTCCAGCTTCTTGCTTTCAAGCATATGGGAGAAACATTTTGTTCTTCAGTAGAGGAACACCATTGCATAGACTTTCCAAAAAAAGAATTCTTAATGTGAAGAACAGATACCTCAGAAAACACAGTTCATAGGGAATGTTGCTTCCATTTTTTAAATTGTTGTCTTGAAGTGTGTGGATTTTATAGGACAAAAACATACTGTGGGCTGCCCTGCTGTTCCCCTGGGCAGTAAAAACCTGTAAATACCTTTACAATGAGAGACATTCCAGACTGACTTCTCTCTTTCCAGCAGAGCTCTTGTTAGAACCAGCAGCACTTCCTCATCTACCCTGTTCTTCTGCAGGGATATATTAGGTTACAGTAAAAGCTGGCTTCAGTATATTTGATGGGTCATTCTTCTATATAGTTTTAAAAAATATAACTAATAGATAATGAGAACATTAGGTTGGCATTATTTTATTAGAAGTTAATGACTAAAAATCCACAGGCATGTTCTGTCATACTTCAGACCGGTAGAAATTACTAAAATGCCATATCTAGAAGTGGCTCAATGTTAACGCTCCCCTTACTGCACCTTTGTCAGATTACACAGTCCCTGTGCTCTGCACGGCGTGCTTGTCCTCAGTGCTGGCGAGCTCCGGATTTCGGCAGCGCCCTGCTGTCTTCGCCCAGCATTACAGAGGCCAAATCTGGAGTGCGCGTTTCGCCTTGAAATAAACCAGCAAGTACTGCAGCAGTCAGTGTCAATTTTTGTACTTCTCTTAGTGTTTCTCTAAAAGATTTTGGACAAGTACTAACGAGGCTTTATATGCATTATTGTGCGCGGTCTAAGTAACTTATACTGAAGAAATATAACTTAAACATCTGCCCAGATCCTCGCCATGCTGCCCCCACACGCACTTCACTGGGGTGGCCGCGCCGTGCCGGGCGGAGCCGTGCCGGGCAGAGCTGAGCCCGAACCCACCGCACCGTCCACGGAGCCCAGCAGGGAGCCCTCAGCGGCCGCCCCTCACGGAGCCCAGCCCGGAGCCCCTCACGGAGCCAGCAGGGAGCCCGCCGCGGCCGCCCCTCACGGAGCCCAGCAGGGAGCCCTCAGCGGCCGCCCCTCACGGAGCCCTGCCCGGAGCCCGCCGCGGCCGCCCCTCACGGAGCCCTACCCGGAGCCCCTCACGGAGCCCTACCCGGAGCTCGCCGCGGCCGCCCCTCACGGAGCCCAGCCCGGAGCCCCTCACGGAGCCCTGCCCGGAGCCCTCAGCGGTCGCCCCTCACGGAGCCCAGCCCGGCGGCCGCCCCTCACGGCCGCCCCTCACGGTCGCCCCGCCCTCGGTTCCTCCGGCCGCCAGGCGGCGCCGCAGCGTGCGGCGGGTGGAGCGGCCATGGCGCTGGCCGGCGACCTGTGGGCAGAGCTGCCGGCTGAGCGCCGCATCTTCTGCTCCGTCCTGCTCTTCTCGTGGGCCGTCTACCTCTGGGAGGCTTTCCTGGCGCACCGGCAGGTCGGTGGGGTTCTGGCGGGGAGGGTCGGTGGTGGGCCGGGGCTGTGCTGGGCCCGGCCCGGTCTCACGTGGAGGGTGGCCGGGGCCGGGGGACGCGGGGTCTGTCACCTGCCTGTGGAGGGCTCGGCCCTGTCCCGGGCCGGCCGGAGTGCGCTGTAGCGGATGGTGGGAACGCTCACAGCCGCGAGTGGGGTGAGCGCGATAGGGTCACGGCGGCTCGGCGCCCCCAGCAGCTCGGTCCTCCTCCCCGGGACAGCTGAAAGAGAGCGGTATGAGCAAAAATGAGGAAACGCGTGGGTTGAAATAGCGACAGTTTAATCGGTGGAGGAAAGAGGAAAGAAGCGCTGCACAGGCCGTGCTTCAGCATCTCCCCGAGCAGGTGATGCCTGGCAGCCTCCGAGCGATGGCCACCCTGGAAGGCACATCCCTGCTTCTTATTGCAGAACACAACACAGAGGACGGAGTGTCCCTTTGGTCAGGGCCCGGCTGTCGCCTGCCAGCCCCATCTCCACCCCCAGCCTGCCCGCCTGGCAGGTTTGGCAGCAGCCGCTCTCCGCGGTGTTTGAGCCCTGGGGTCGGGGATTGCAGCCTGATGCCCGCACAGGAGAGAATGTGTTTTGAAGTGACAAAGGGTAGGAGCTTTTCCTTAAAGAACGGGTAAGTATACTGAAACAAGATAGCTGAGGAAAAAGACTTCTAGTCTTAAAAAATTTCAAGTGGCAAGTTCTCTACTGAAAAGGAAATAGCACCTCGTTTGTGCAGCCTCTCCGTAGCTCTGTGTTCTGGTGAAGTCACACGGTTTGTACAGGAGGATCCGGTGTTTGGTTTCAAAATTAGCTTAGCTGTTAACTATGGTGCGGTAAGTAACATCCTGTGGAAAAATCAGTTTGTGTGATCTGTATTTGAACTATTCTAAATAAGTTGTTAAGCCAACAGTTCAGTTCCTGGTTACAACATAATAATTATGCTTCAGTTTTATATTTAGAACTTGATAGAAAACCGGAATTTAGGAATAATTATTCCATTGTGTGTTGTTTTTTCTTTTTAATTTTCTGTGGTGGCCCATGGGATCATTTTATGTGTTATTTTTAGATCTTATTTATCTCCTTTAAAATATTAGGTGTGGACTTCAAGTTTTGTCTTCAATTTTTCAGAGGCGGGTGTATAGAACAACAACACATGTACCACAGGAGCTGGGACAGATCATGGACTCAGAAACATTTGAAAAATCTCGCCTCTATCAGTTGGACAAAAGTACTTTCAGCTTTTGGTCAGGCCTCTATTCAGAGGTTGAGGGCACTGTAAGTACCTTTCATGTGATATTTTTCATGTACTCAAACTGTGCAGTACCATGCAGCTGCACCCTTGGCATTCTGGTGTCATACAGCAAACACTGACATTTATATTCTGGTTTTGTTTGTGGCTGTATTTGCTACACAAAAAGAAGTAATTATTCAGAAAGCATGTAATTTCTTTCTGCATTGCTGAGTCATACTGCACAACTACTGTGTTAGCTTACATTTTAATTATGTTTTATAGTAGTTTCCATTGCAAAATAATTAAGCAGCAAGAGAGTTATTTTAAATTGTTAAAATACAGACCTTTCCCTGTGTTTGGAGGAATGCAACCACTTTCATTTTTAGATAAAATTTAAGTAGAAGGTAAAAAGAGAAAAAAAAAAAGGTGCAGTTGAAGTGGCTTTCATTTCTCCATTAAGCTTTTAAAAAAGCCACCACACTTGCTTTCATCCTTTCCATCTCCTCCTGACACTGAAAATGCACCCTAAGTGTTAGGTTGTAAGAGTAAGCCTTTTCAAAATAAAGAAATAGATAAAACCCTGGTGTCATCAATATTGGAAGGCTGCTTGCTTGAAAACTGATTTTATATGTAGTGATGCATCACTTGCTAAGAAAGAACCATGAGATATTTACAAGTTGAGCTGTGTGAGAAGTGCTGCCAGGCCTGGCTGTGAGCTGCAGCGAGCACTTGCCTCAGTAGCTCTGGCTTGGGCATTTCTTTGACGGTGGTGTACCCCAGATGTTCACTCCCTGTTCCTTGGCAGCAGTGTGTCAGGAGACGCTGGGAGCAGGCACAAGGAGGAGGAGACCATGAAGCTTTCTTCTACATGGCTGTAGCAACTCAGTACTGAAAGTGAAACTGGGGTTTTCTCTGGGCAGGGAACTCAGGTGAACCTCCAGGAGAGGAGGGCAGCTTCTCTTCAAGAGGAGAGGCTGCAGTATGAATATGTGTGTGTGGTTGTACAACCCCAGGGCACACGAGCTTTAAGGTCTTCTGGAGATATACCTTATGTCTGAACCAGGACAGCAGCAAAGTGTACAGAAAATAGGCTTGCAAATATGCTAGTATTTCACAGGAAAAAAAATTAATTACCTGTTCTCTACTTCTGTAAAGTAAAAATTAATTAATGCCAGATATTCCAGGCTTGTTTTATCACTGTTAAGATTAGAGGGATGGCAAAAAGCTAATTATAAAACTTGTCTTATTCACCCTTAAAAGGTTCTTATCATGCTGAAATGTTAGTACACTAAGATGACAGTGTGTTTCATATGGCCTCTGTGGTATGTGGTTTTGTTTTTAAGATGATTCTCCTCTGTGGAGGAATTCCTTTTCTATGGAAACTGTCTGGTCAGATCTCTGGTCGTGCTGGGTTTGGACCAGAATATGAGGTAAGTAGGCTTTAAATTCCTGTGAAAGTATTTGATCCCTACTGCAATAATTATTTTTAAATTGGTATTTAGTTAAAAGTGAGATTTAGCTAACCTGTAATACAGTAAAAATAACACATATTTTCTGGTGCACACAATGACTCTGTGATTCTGAGAACTGGTAACAGTAAATTAGCTTGCTTTTAAATTAGCTTACTAATTAAAACAGTCTTATGTATTAAAAGCGAAGTCTGGTGTCTGCTTGAGTCAGATGAGGTGGTGAGCTGAGTTTTTGGGAGCTCTTTATTTGGGCGTTTTCTTTTTACTAATCCTAGAATTGGTCTACCTGCACACTAAAAGGGTAAGAAATTTGAGTCTACTGGTTATGTTACCTTTGTGCTGTGGATGAGGCATGTATCCAAATTTGTGTTCCATATCCTTAGTAAGCTATTATAGTGAGCAGTAATTAGTCATCATGAACAAGTTAATTCTGTGAATTTATCTAGTGTCATCTTCTAACCAGTTTCAGTTAAACCACTGACCTAAAAGCCATTTTTAACACCCAGAATATTTGTTAGTATGGGTCAGTAAATATCAGGTGGTTTTGATGCCAGGTTTTGTTTTGTTCTGTTTTTTAGATTGTGCAGTCATTGGTATTTCTGCTGCTTGCAACACTCTTCAGTGCAGTGACTGGTCTCCCATGGAGTTTATATAATACATTTGTCATAGAAGAGAAACATGGCTTCAATCAACAGGTATTGCAGAAAGCACTTGTGCTGACCAAATTGGTTCAGATTGTTAGATAGACTGTCCTTTAATGAATGTGCAACCCAAAATAATGGTTTGGGTCAGGACTTACTAAGGAAGAGTGCATGTGCATGGGCTTGAGTCTATGTAAATGTAAGGAGCTACTAGGAGAGCTCCTTTTTGACTTACTCTGATTTTCTTATGACACTGGCATTGCTGTTTTGCCCTTTGTCTTACCTGAAGGGATCAGTTCACTAACCAGAGTGGCATATTAATATTTACATTGACGTCACTGATCCCATTTATCCTTTCTTTGCAGACGCTGGGATTTTTTTTTAAGGATGCTATCAAGAAGTTTGTTGTGACTCAGTGTATTCTGTTGCCAGTGACATCCCTTCTGCTTTACATTATTAAAATAGGGGGAGACTACTTTTTTATCTATGCCTGGCTCTTCACGTTAGTTGTTTCCTTGGTGAGTATGAGAGGATATTTGGGTTTCTTCCAGACTCCAGCTTACTGGCATGGCTCAGCATGCTGAATGCAACTGACAGGAAATGAAGAAAAATCTAAATCTCCTGTGAATTTTAATGTCTACAAACTTTAACAGAGTGTCTTGCTCTCAATGTACTTGTTTAGGAATAATGGCTCATATTAGTTGTCCACGTTAATGTCATAGATAGCTAATCTATTTAATATTGGAGTATCTTAATCAATTGAAAGAGAAGCAGTGATAAAGCTTTAGAATAGGTACTGGAAATACAGCACTATGTGGTGATCTGTTTTCCATTCTCCTGAATGTAGAGGTTAGAACCAGAACATATGTAGCTGGAGCCACATTCCTCTCTCTCACTTTCCTATCACAAACTAGTATTTTATTTTTGCTCTGCCTGTGCCTTCCCGTTGAGCTGTCCACATAGATTTTGTCCTGAGGTTCTACAGATAATTTAGAACCCAATATAACAGGGGTTGGTCTGTCTTTTATACTACAAAAACTAGAAAATAAAACATCTTGGCAGAGCTGCAAACTGCTGTATTGAAAGAACATTTTCCTGGCTCACTCTTCTCCTCTGAGCCCCCTCCGCCCCTGAGGGTTAAGTGCATGCTTAAACAATGGTGTGTTGCCACCTCACTGCAACTTCTCAGGGTTTCAGGCCTTAATGTGTTTGAACAGCCTTTGACATGCAAAATCATCCTAACAAGTATTAGATTTACCCTTTAGAATATGGTTTTGGGAAAAATTCCAGTTCCATAACTCTGTAATCAGAGTTGCATCCTCCTACTAGTTTGTTATGCCTGCTGATACCAAGGCATTACACAAAGATCTGAGATAAAACCTGAAAATTCTGAAACCCACATGCTGTATGGTCTGAAACAGTAGTCTGGACTGAAAAGGTGATTTATACTCTATGAAATAACCTCCTACACCTTCTGCAAAGGTTTAAGTCCCTAAAAATTACAGTAACAAAACTTACTTTAGTGGTGTTTCATATCGATGCCCTCACTTGTTGTGCCTTTGCAAAAGTCAGTTTTTCTGATTTTCAATTTCATTGGACTTTTTCAGCAGTGCACACACTGTCAAAAGTCCAAGTACTTGTTTTCAGTGAAATAAAATGTATCAAGATAGTTTTGAATTTAATGTTGATGTCTGTTTGCCTCTCATGTCCTGTTCCTTTTTCGCTAACCAGAATTTAAACTTATAAAACAAATAAATAAAAATAATTTTGTGGTGTGAGGAAAGGGAGTTCAGCTTGCCTTTCCATCATTATGCTAGTTCTGGCTTTCTCAACTGGGCTGCAGCTGATGCCAGTTTGAAGAGATGCAGGTGCACTGTAGTGATGTTTTTAGGTCAAGGCTATTAGTCATTGTGGAGCCAGAGGCATCAGGCAGACAACTGCCTCAGTCCTGCAGACAGTTGGGAGACAGAAAGAAAACAGGGGACATGAAATCTCTTGCCTCTTTTTAGACAGCTGTTTTGCAAGTTACCAGGAATTAGTCCCACTTTTTCTGTCTCTTGGTTCCTTCATCTCTTCAGCTGAGTATGAAACACTTCAGAGCTTTCTAAGATTGGTGGAAGTGACAGCCTTTCACTGAGCCCCCTACTCCCAGAGGCCTTGTCTTCTGCACTGTTCACACCAGTTCTGCTCAGGTGTGTAGGTGGTTTGTGCACAGTTTGCTGAACTGTGGACTGGCCACCAGGCAAGGCAACCCATAGAGAGCCTGCCTATAGATCCCACTTCACACAGGACTCTGCTTTATCAAGTGGTTTTTTCTGAAATTGTGCCCTCTTTTTGAACTTTTTGCTCCACCTTTAGTGCTAAACAGGTTTGCATGCCCTGTTCTTAATATCTGCATGTGTTTGCAGGTGCTTGTTACAATCTATGCAGACTATATTGCACCTTTGTTTGATAAATTCATTCCGCTTCCGGAGGGAGAGCTCAAGCAGCAAATTGAAACAATGGCAAAGAGCATTGACTTCCCATTGACTAAGGTGTATGTAGTTGAAGGTGAGGTTTTGTTATTTTTTTTTAAATAAAAAGGTTTTGTAGTTGTAAATTTGTGGGGTTTTAGCATTGATTGTGAATGCTGTAGTAGGGCAGTTGACTGCATTGCGCAGATACTGCAATGCTTGCCAATGTCTGTAGCATTTTCCTGGTCTTTTTCCTGAAGCTCAATGCACAGCCTGAACTCATCTTCTGGTTGGAAGTATTTTCCTGGGTCTGTGGAATGGAAATACACAGCTTGGCCAGGAGTGGAAGCACAAAAGTAGTCAAGATTATAATTTTAGAACTATGAAACAAAGGGAATTACTGTTTCCATTCACCTTTGCTGGCACATTTGAAAAAATTCTACATAATTTGGCACAGGTTCTTTGCCTGGAGCAGTGTCAATTCAGAATGCTCTTTCCACTCTAAATCTGAAATTGCAATAGGATTAGCTTTTCTTCTTGGACATTAGATGTTCACGACTGCTTTTATGGTTTTAGTGCTTTTAGTGATTGCACACTACATTTCTCTATTAGAGACATCATTACTTAGATATTAGAATATGCTTCAGCTTCCAAACAGATCTGCTTCAGTTTGTCTACAGTTCATTTGGGGACTTTGAGAATTCCTGTGGAAAAATCTGATGTGTCGTACTGTGCAGGCTTCAGTGCATGGGATTATTCAGATCATGGTGTTTAAATTTTCCCCGTCAGGTTCTAAGCGTTCTTCCCACAGCAATGCTTATTTCTATGGATTCTTCAAGAATAAGCGGATAGTACTCTTTGACACGCTCCTGGAAGACTATTCTGCTTTGAACAAAGAACCAGCAGAAGGAGAAGATGGTGAAAATGAAGAAGCAAAGTCTAAAACCAAAGTGAGTTTGTCTTTCATTGTGTTGTTTATATTGACTTCTTGGTGAGATATTCCCTTGTTTTTCCTAATGTATTTTAAAGATCTTGAGTAAGTTGCTAAAACCCAAACCCTAATGATTTCAACACCAAAGTATGCCTCGTTTGCTGATTGGAATTTCTGGGGCTGTGTGAGTTGTGCAGATAGCAGCAGAGACTGTAAAAATCCACATGGGCTTTAGCAAAACATTAGTTCCCTGCATGTAAAAACTAGACCTTCCCTATAATTCTTTGAATAAGGGAGCTGTTCAGGGCTTTAGCTCATCTTCTCTTGGGACTGCCATACCAAAGGTTCCCTTTGAAGGAAATACTTTTAATTCTTAGTGTGTCATTTGTGTGCCTTTTACTGCATGCAGAGATTTCAGTGCAGGGGGACAGACATTGTACATGTGCATCCTCCCATGCTCTGGTCAAGAACGTAATGCTGGCCTGGCACTGGCCTGTCCTTTGATGTGCAGCTGCACATCTTGAGTCTGCTGGAACAGCTTGTGGCCTCAGAAGAGTATGGAAATGACTAAAGCGAATAGAATACTCTCTGAATAACCTGAAGGTGTTATTCTGAGAAAAACAAAAGGCCTTGTGCAGTCTAAGGTTAGGCCAATGTCTAGATTGTTGTTCAGTCCAGCTGCTGTTCCTTGACACCATGTTAGTGGTGCCCAGGGCTTTGTTTGGCAAGTTCTGCAGAAGTGAGTGGTGAGAGGAGGGGATGTTGAGCTCACCTGATCTAGCCATAATGAGAGTGTGTTCCATTTCAACAGGTTCTTCAGCCTTTGTGTTTGCTTCTGACTTGCTAATGGAACTTTGAAGGTGCAGGTGTCCTTCCTAATTATAGCTTTAAGGTGTGTCATAGGGCTTTTTGAAGAGGACAGTTCCTTTTAAAAGGAACAGTACTGCCTGGGAGGAAGGCTACATATTGAATGTTGAAGGAAAGTAGGAACAGGGCTTTGCTCTCAATTCTCCTCTGAAAGTGTGCAGCTCTGAATACCTGTTTCCAGTGTCATGCTTTGCTTGAGTAAAGAAACAGAATGAGAAGGGATAGGAGAGTGTTTGGAAGGCAAATCTTCCAGTGTTCTTTCAGGTTTGCATCAGCATGTCTGCATACATAGAAATAAGAGAACACCACCTTGTAGTAGAAATCTTCTTAACATTATAAGGTTATATTTCTGTAAGTATCTTCATGAAAAAGGCTCAGCAAGAAATTATATGTGTGTTTCTGGTATTACAAGGGAATGGCCTGATCTAGGGACACTTAAGTGATCAAGAAAAAAACCAAATTAGTAAGAAATTTATTTGGTTGTGTCCAGACATACCTGATAATACTTCTGCTTTGCTATTCCCTCAGAATAAGAAACAAGGATGTAAAAATGAAGAAGTTTTGGCTGTACTTGGTCATGAATTGGGTCACTGGAAACTAGGTCATACTGTCAAAAATATAATCATCAGCCAGGTAAGTTATTTTAAACTGGCTTTTTTTTTGTTTTGGTTTTTTTTTTTTTTTTTTTTTTTTTTTTTTTTTTTTTTTTTTTTTTTTTTTTTTTTTTTTCCTGGAGCATCTGTAATTATAGCTGTTTCCAAATGCCCTCTTCCAGATTTGTTAGTGTACATTCACCTAGTACACTTACACTGTGTGACAGGAAGTTGCTCTGGATCACAGCCATCCTTCTTTTCTGTTCTGTGTGTTTCAATAACAAGCAATATTCTGGCACTTTCTATGTTACTCTAAAAAGACCAAAAAACCACTTGGATAGCTAATCACCCCCTCTAGAAAACTTGGTAAGGCATGGTCCTGCCTCTTGGCTCTGAAAAGCCAGGCAAGCAGTGTTTGTACAGAACGCTGCACAGCTTGGATGGAAGCACAGATTGTTTCCAGGAACAGAAGTACACCACAGCACAGACACATTTTGTTTGGTTTTAAACTTCTCAGATCCTACACTTAATTCCAAGGAGATGGGTTCTGTCCTGTACTCCCTCCTCTCTTCTCTGCTTGCTTCATCTCCCTTCATTATTTGTTTTTTGCTCACTGGCAGAAAATAGTGCTGCTTCTACTGCTGTATTTTCAGAAAGCAGGTAAAAACCAACTGTTTGTTCCTCTCTGTGTATTAGTTCAAAAGTAATCTACTTGTTTTTGGTTTTTTTTTATAGTGGCATCCATGTGCAAATCTATAATGTGATGTTATGTAATGACTTATCTTAATCAAGAATATTTTTTCTTTTCTCCAGATGAATTCCTTTCTTTGCTTCTTCTTGTTTGCTGTGCTAATTGGTCAGAAAGAACTCTTTGCTGCATTTGGTTTCTATGACACCCAGCCTACCCTGATAGGCTTGATGATTATTTTCCAGTTCATTTTTTCACCTTACAATGAGGTAAATTGTTTTCAAGACATAAACTCTGAAGTATCATCCTATTTAAATAATGATTCTGTTTTGTCAGGGGAAGTTTGACTTTCTAGGGGCTGTGTTGGGTGTCTCATTTTGATAATCAGGCTTAGTGCTGCATGTTGGGCAGCACTCCCAGTTTCAGGTGTGGCTTGGATAAAGCTTAGTGAGATCAGTCTGCAGCCACAGCCATGTGTGGCATGTGGGAAGCTAGATGTGGTGGTATTTACTGGCACTGAAGGAATTTGCAGACAGCTGAATTTTAAAATAATTTTTAATACATTTCTCTCCACAGGTTCTCTCATTTTGTTTGACAGTATTAAGCCGACGATTTGAGTTTCAAGCAGATGCATTTGCCAAGGAACTTGGGAAGGCTAAAGACCTATATTCTGCTTTGATCAAGCTGAACAAAGATAATTTAGGATTCCCTGTTTCTGACTGGATTTTTTCAATGTGGCATTACTCCCACCCACCCCTTTTAGAAAGACTTCAGGCCTTGAAAGATGCAAAGCAAGAGTGACAGCAATGATTGCTGGTTCAGAGACAGTGCTTCCATCTCAGAAGCAAAGTTCAGAGCTGCTTTTTAATTTTTTTTTTAAATGGATAATGCAAATTAAGTGCGCTGTTAACAGCACCACAGATCTGAGTATCCTGAAACAGGTGTTAAATTATAAATGACTTATTTTTAACCAAAACAAAACTGTGGAACTTAATTTAGAAAAAGTGCTGGGTGAAGACCTTCCCCCCCACCCACCACACTGACTTTTATTTCCATATCATAGTATAGACTTATAAAGGGAGGAAAACAAGTGTAGACTTCAAAGCACCTTTTTCTTCACTTTGTGTATGCCTTGAACATTGCTTTTGATCCTTTTTCTATTCTCAGTGTTTTGTGAACCTTTCCAGTCTCACCCTCTTCACAGTGAAGAGGCTTTGGGTGACTTGATTTCCTGTATAATGATACTTGTGCTTGCCAGTGTGTTTTAAAAAGCTGAATGCAGCTGCAGGCTTCTCTCCTGCATTCATGTCTGTCAGAATGAAAAATGCTGCTTAATAAAACCTTCTTTCTCTGAGGTGTGGGAAGAAGGATGAATTATAGCTGAGGATATGTACCATGTCTTCCTTGAAAATGAGCATTATTATTTAGTAGCATTATAGTGGGATTAGGCTGCTCCTATTGCCCCAGGGCTGCTGGGGGTGTGGAAGGATGTTACAGAGAATCAGAATGGGACCCACATATTTGAGAAAATTGCTGATTCTCTCTTGTTCTCCCTTTTTCCATGTCTCAGTTCCTCCATTTCTGTTGTACTTTGCCTAGATTTCTTGTGTATATGGAAGTGTCCAGTTGCTCAGCCAGCGTATTAAAGCCACGCTTTCATTCTGAGGGGGCTTATCCTCCATTCCATTGAGGGTTTTTCATCAATATGAATCCAGCTGAAATAGCAGCTGAACTTATTCTTCATCATTGTTCTTCTATATAAAAATTCTTACATATAAAAAGCCCAGGAAAGTTTGCCCACATCAGTTACTGGAGAAAAAAATGGGTAAACCTGGAAATGGCTTCAGCATTGATTATCTCAGACTTTTCTGATGAAAAATAGGATTATATTTACTTTTGTTGAAGTAAAAATAAAAGTAAGATATAAGTTTGCATGTGCATACAAATGTTTTAACCAGCGTGAGTATACAAACTCCGTATAAAAATCAGATTTTCTATCTCTGTAGTAAATTAAAAAGTTCTGCTCAGCTCTGTACAAAGAGAGAAGTCATCAAAGCAAATTGTCATTGTTTCACGTGTCAGAATACTCTCATATATTTTATTGTTAGCTTACATTTGTTTTTCTGATCATAGGGAAAATGCCTTATAAGATGATGGGCACAATAATGTCTTGGGTGAAACAAGATGTTGCTGAAAGCCCTTTGTATGCCTTATTCTAATTGTGTTTATACCCCAGCAAATATGGAGCTAAGCTATAGATCTGGATTTAGGAGACAGTTTTACAAATCTGGAGAGCCTATATTTGTCATGTGAACTGTATTTAATAAAAGGCCCTCAAAAATAAAAGCATTAACTTGAATCTGTCAATTCAGAAGAATAAATAGTGTATCAAGTTTTGAATGAGCTGTTGGCTAGTGTAAAGCTATGGAAAACATGTTAAGTGTGCTTTAAGAAAATCATTTGTCTCATCCATTAGGTAATAATTATATGCAAAAATTAATTTTCTGGCTATTTTAGAAATTTGGGTAAATGCAAACAAAATGAGATTAAAGTGTGAAGATGAAGGAAATGTCAGTTGCTATGGAAGCATGAAATACTTAAAAACACCTAGGTGAAGATAGCAATTGCCTGTTACTTCCTTTTCTCCCCATCAGTGTTATTAGTTATCTCTGCAGGTCTTCTAGCTGGATTTCATATATAACTACTGAACAAGGTTTCAGGGTTGGTTCCATTCTGCCCCAGTTGCTTCTCAGCTCTGCAATTGTCAGTGTGTGCTGCTGAGCTGCTACCTGCCCACATTTCTACTGGGCACCTGGAGTGCATCTTGCAGACCTTCTACAGCCTCAATTTGCTTCCTGTCTCCCTGAGAATAGTCTAAATTACACCTAAATCTTCCTGTGCAACCTCTGCCTCCCCAGGTGCCTAAATGCTCCCACAGTGTCTGCACAGCCGTGTGATAAGCCTGCACCAGCTTCATGACAAAGTAAGGGTGCTTAAGAGCAGCCACCATCCTTTCCAGGGAGTGACCAGTTTTAAAGAAAGAGGCAAGAAAATTAGCAAGCATGCATTTAGTTTTCAGTTACCTCTAGCAAATACTCTTCAGATACTCAAGGGAACCCAGAGCAGAACATCTCTGGCATCTGTGGGACTGCTGGACATTCATCAGCAGAATCCTGTCCAAAGGCTGGAGCTTCAGCTTCTGTTTCCTGCCTTAGCAGCCCTGTCTGTTGGTCTAAGTAGAAACCTGAGAGAAGACATGCTGAGGAAAAGCAGACCTTGAAAGGTGACAGAAGGACTAAAATGGAATCCTTTGTGAATGTGAAGCTTGATGTGTTTTGGTAATGTATGCTGGCAGCCCAGAGCCCCACGTGCCCTGGGCTGATCCCCAGCAGGGATGGGCAGGACAGGGGAGGGGATTCTGCCCCTCTGCTCTGCTGGGGTGAGACCCCATCTGCAGAGCTGCCTGCAGCTCTGGCATCCCCTATACAAGAAAAGCCTGCTGGAATGAATCCAGAGGAGGCCACAGAGATGTTGGAGCCCCTCTGCTCTGGAGACAGGCTGGGAGAGCTGGGGGTGTTCACCTGGAGAAGGCTCCAGGGAGATCTTACAGCCCCTTCCAGGACGTAAAGGGGATGCAAGAGAGCTGAGAGGGACTTTGGTCAAGAGCCTAGAGTGACAGGACAGGGAGGGATGTCTTTAAGCTGAAGGAAGGTAGATTTAGATCAGATACTATGAAGAAATTCTTTACTGAGGGATAACTGGCAGTTTGCTCAGCGAAGCTGTGGCTGCCCATCCCTGAAAGTGTCCAGGTTGGACAGGGCTTGGAGCAATCTGGTCTAGTGGAGGGTGTCCTTGCCCATGGAGACCCCATCTGCAGAGCTGCCTGCAGCTCTGGCATCCCCTATACAAGAAAAGCCTGCTGGAATGAATCCAGAGGAGGCCACAGAGATGTTGGAGCCCCTCTGCTCTGGAGACAGGCTGGGAGAGCTGGGGGTGTTCACCTGGAGAAGGCTCCAGGGAGATCTTACAGCCCCTTCCAGGACGTAAAGGGGATGCAAGAGAGCTGAGAGGGACTTTGGTCAAGAGCCTAGAGTGACAGGACAGGGAGGGATGTCTTTAAGCTGAAGGAAGGTAGATTTAGATCAGATACTATGAAGAAATTCTTTACTGAGGGATAACTGGCAGTTTGCTCAGCGAAGCTGTGGCTGCCCATCCCTGAAAGTGTCCAGGTTGGACAGGGCTTGGAGCAATCTGGTCTAGTGGAAGGTGTCCTTGCCCATGCTTTCAGATGATCTTTAAGGTCCCTTCCAATCCAAACCATTCTGTGATGAAATAGACATAAACGTGGCCCTTTCAAAGCGTTTCAAGGGCCTCCATTTGCTCACACGGGACTGTTACGGCCACAGGGCTCCCTCCTGCTCCGGCTCCAGCAGCTCCTGCTGCTGAGTGTGTGGGCCAGGGGCGCAGGCTGGGCAGCGGGGGCAAGGCCGCGTGTGCCGCTCGGTTTGCGATGGCCGGGAGCGATGTGCGGGCCCTGTGCCCCCTCAGTGCCAGCCGTGTGCCCGCTCGGTGCCAGCCCTGTGCCCCCTCAGGCTCCCCGGGAGCGATGTGCGAGCCCTGTGCCCCCTCAGTGCCAGCCCTGTGCTCGCTAGCGCACGCCCCGCAAGAAGGAGCCGCCGCGGGCCTCGCCGCCCGGCGGTGTGTCCGAGGCCTCGGCCGTCGGGGCCGCCCCTGCGCCCGGCGCCGAAACCACCGGCATCGCCGAGACCCCTGAGGGCCGCAGGACCAGCCGCCGCAAGCGAGCCAAAGTAGGTGTGGGGCGGCCCGGTTGCGGGCCCCGCCGGTGCCTCGTGCGCGACGCGCTCGGGCCGGCAGGGACATCCCGGCCCCGCTCGGCCGGCCCTTCTTCTGGGGGGCCCGGCCCTGCCTGCCCGGCCAGCCCTTCTTCTGGGGGGGCCCGGCCCTGCCTGCCCGGCCGGCCCTTCTTCTGGGGGGCCCGGCCCCGCCTGCCCGGCCGGCCCTTCTTCTGGGGGGGCCCGGCCCCGCCTTCCCGGGCCCTTCTGGGGGTCCCGTCCCCGGCCCTGCCGAAGGGGGGGCTCAGCACGGGCCCCGGCCCTGCCGAAGCATAGCCGGGACCGAGGGCTCCGGTGTCGTGAGTGCGAAGGACTCACGAAGGCACTTTGGCTTAAGATTAAGATCAAGATCCCCTGTTCTAGCTCACCTTCGTGGGCTCTGGGGAGGGCTCGTGCCCTGCCATAAAGGAGAGCTTTCTGCAGCTGTTTAGGAACTTTCTGCGGTTTCTGACCGGATACAGAACAGTAAAAACACCCCAAATCAATGGCAGTGCATTGGGGCGCTCGTGAGCTTACATTTTATCAGCAAATTCTTCTGTTACTGTGGTATATGGATGAGCCTCTCCAGGCTCGTGTCTCCAGGCCGGGGATGATGCTGATTTTGTAGGGTTGTGAAGGTGATGGCCATGCTCAGTCCACTGTTCCTCACCTTCCTTCCACTGGTGTTGGAGAGCTGAGTCCAGGCTGTGTAAGGGTGGGATTTAGCAATGAAATCTAACAGCTGTAAAAGGTCTCCAGTAGTTTGGGTGTGTAGTACGTAATTCTCATCTGTTGTTCTGAATATATGAGAACATTACCCTTTTTTTTTCGTGAAACCTTTTCTTGGAAACCTTGTTTCAGAAGTTAATGAAGATTTGAATGTGCCCTGGGTTGAGATGTTTGACATGGAAGCTGAAATTATTTTTTGGAACTGTTTTGTCCTGTGGCATTGAATGTGGCTCTTCAGAGCTATTGTGTGGTGTGATGTCTGAACTGGTCCTTCACACATAGGAGCTGTTGGGTTGGTCAGTCTGGTGCATCTTTTAAATCAAAATAAGGTGGGTGTAGACTGGACATAAGGAAGGCATTTTTTACAATGAGGGTGTTGAGGCCCTGGCAGATGTTGCTCAGAGAAGCTGTGGCTGCCTCATCCCTGGAAGTGTTCATGGACACGTTGGACAGGGCTTGGAGCACCCTGCTCTAGTGAACAGTGTCCCTGCCCATGGCAGTGTGGGTGGGTTTGAAAGTCCAAACCATTCTGTGATCTTCAGAGGCAGCATTCCTTCCTTATAGTGGTCTGGTAACTAGTAGGAATTAGTGCTCTGTGTGGGTTGTGTGTGGGTGGTGTTTCTTTGCACTGACAGTGCCCATCTGCAAACAGTGTTTGTCTCTTGTGGCACCATCTGTCCCCTTGAGCACTCAGGCCAGCATGAGGTCACCTTCCCTTGAGTGTTTGTAGGGTGAACTTAGTTTGGGAGCGTATCTAGGCTAGGGGAGAGCTTAGGGTTTTGTATTGAACTTGATTGTTCTTCAAAAGTTGTGGAAGC